CAACTGCCTGGTGGACATCACCATGAAGCTGTCCAAACACTCCAAAGACTTCATCACATACACACCACAGAACAAATCCCAATCCTGTTTCATGTTCTCTACTCCTGGCCTTTACAAAGGTATCACCACCCCCTTGATCAGAGACCTCTTAGCAATCTGTTAAGATTCAGGTGGAATGGGGTGGGGGAGTGGCTCAGTGGTAAAGCCCTTGCCTAGCATGCAGAAGGCCCTGAGTTCAATCCCCAAACTATAAATCAAATTCAGATGGTACAAATCACCTTCCTACGCATGTTTCCTTTTTCAGTAAAGCTGACAAGGGCAGTATCAACTTCAGATGGTCATTAAGGGATGGTCTCTTTCCTTACTCTCTATATTTAATCACTGGATAAGAACTATCAACTGGATAAGAACTACCAACCACATGTCTCTTAAAGCCTTCCCCTTCTTTCTATTCTTACTCATTTGTACATTCACCATTTCTAGCCCAAAAAACTGTAAAACTCCCTGACTAGTCACCATACTCTCTGTCCTCTCCAACCTACTAGCCTGTACATTCCAGAAGATAGGGTTATGATGGGTCCTAGTCCAGGTGTTCACTTTCCCAAAGTCCACCATAGTGCATGGCACACACTAGGTGTTCAATAAACACTTTTTAGCAATGCTGACTGGCTCCAAGTTGATCATCCCAAGCACCAGATACAATGGAGAGAAACTGTAAGAAAAACTTCAATCTCATGAACATTGCAGGGAGTCCTTGTGCACACTGAATAAGAATGCATAACAACCTTTCTGTCTGGGGCCCCTGGCCTCAAATTCCTGTTTCTACCTCATTGTGGTATATATCTACGGAGGCATCAGGCCTAAGTAAGTGGTTAACAAGCAAAAAGTGTATTCAGCATGGACAGAAACCATAAGATTCATTAAATAAGAGATAGTAAGCAAGATGTGTGTGTTAAACATCAAAAGGAAGGGTAGAAGGACCAAGAGATAATGAATTTTCAGTAGGTATTAAATGTACATAGGGCACCTGGGCTCTAAATATTCATGATACACTAAATATACAAGAGACACTAAATATTCATGAGTACTCAATATTTATGAGGCCTTAATTCGGCCACTCAGTCATTGGCAACACCCATTCTGGCCCCATGTATCCTCTGTCCAAGAAACACAAACAAAACCCATGACTATTCTGCAGGCTCACTGGCAAGCTACAGCTGGGGCCAGGCACACTCAGTCCTGCAGCTCTGCAATACAGTAAGTGTGTGCCCTTGGCCCAGGGCCCTATCTGTCTGTAGTTCTCCTTCCATGACCCTCAATTTTGGGCTCCAAACCACACTTTTCAAAGTTAAAGCTAGCGAAACAGAGAGAGAGGCCCATTGCCCAGAATTCAGGAGTGTGGTCTTTCCACACACTTGAATTTGGTCCAAAGTGTAGAAACCTGTTCTGTCTCTTTCGCCTTGCTTCTTGCTGTATAGTTTTGTTTTTCTTTTCTCCCCCCAGGTGCTGGGGATGAATCCAGGGCCATGCACATGCTAGACAAGTGCTCCACCACTGAGCTACACTTCCAACTGTTGCTGTGGTTTCCATTACTTTAATCTACGGTGTGAATCGTGTAATTTAATTTGGCCCACGAGCCTTGTCTTCTATGGCCTCTTGGAGAACCTGCATGAATGCTTCATGGAGGCCATTACTGCAACAAGGTAGTATCTTAGACAACACAGAGAAAACAAACTGTAGAAGGAGCAGAAATGGAAGCAGGGAGACCACAGTAGGCAACTGTTTCATTCCTCCAGCAAAGAGATGAGAGGACCATGAGTTAGCTGGTAGTAAGAGGGACAAAATGACATAGGTATGTTCAGGATGTTTTGCTGGGAGAGTAAAGAACAGGGATGCTCAGTAGATATGAGCAAATGGGGAAAGTAAATGGAATGGAGATTGCAATCAGAGAAGGCAATTTCAGAGTCTGAGATATTGGAAGTAACAATATTCCAAAAGACAAGAAAAAAAAAATCTCACCCAAGAATTACCGGTCCTCGGCAAACAAAGGACTCTAGAAGGTCACTTACACCAACCACCAAATGCTTAACTCTTCTCCAATGCCTCTACCAAGCTATTAGTTAAGCACATCTGAACCACCACGTCCCAGGGGCATCCATCTAGACCAGTGAACAAATAAGTGACTCCACTCCTCAACCCTATAACAGAATCCACCTCCAACTCCACCTAAGACCATTACAACTTCTAGCAGCTCTCTGCTACAAACCTGACAGTGACCTGAATTCTGATCCCTAGATAGAGTCCATAAGGATACAGAAAATAAGGTCACCCCCCCCCCACGACATGCCTTTAGATATGTGAAGACATTTTCAGGCACATCTGTCTTCCCTTTATAGACAAATATCCCTTTTCACTATTTATTCTGGCACGTGACAATTTTCAGTCCTTTCTCAACACACAAAAATCAATAGCTTTACTCTACACGAATAAGAGACTCCCTGAGAAATAGGGAAAACAATTCTTTTCGCAATACCATCCAAAAAACTGAAATACCTAGGAATCAACCTAA